CAGGTAATAAATGAATGTCCCAAACACTGCTCATAGTATGATAATAATATGATAATATAATGATGATGATGATAATGATGATGATGATAGAAATAATAATAATTGTAAGATAATAATATTAAAAAACCACGTTTAAACAAAAGGTACCGTATAATTATAATTCCTTTTCTTGTTTTCAAAGATGGCCCTTCAACAGCAGAAACAAGAAGAAGAAAATAAAAGACTCCAGCAAATGTATGAAAGGAACTTGGCTCAACAGATGACAATGATGACAACAAGGTTGTCTGGTATGGAAGTGAACTTAAGGGGAAACAAAGTAGAGGTTTTTGAATATAGTAAAATGAACTGTCAAGGAGCTACTTGTTCACAAAGTTCACTTTCATATTCACATACATATTCAGATTCAAATGAAGCAAGCTCATCTTCTTACAGATATGCCTTATCTTCAGATTCAAATTCAAATACTAATTCTAATTCTAATCCTAATTTTAATTCAAATTCAAATTCAAATTCAAATTTAGATTCAGCTTCTTGCGTGATACAATAAAATGTCTTTGTTCTTTCGAATATATCATACACTGTGTTTCTGATCGGCTGCGCGAGTGGGCGGTCTGGTATACAGTCAATTCAAAAAACGTTGTCGTCGACCACCTCAAGCCTACGCGACTGGACCGAAAGGAACTCTGGGTAGTAATCATTGAAGCCGAGTTGACTCCATAATTTTATCTGACTAGTTATGCCTGGTTTACAGCACGAACCTTCGTAGGCGAGCGGGAAGTGTTGAAGGAGACGTTTTTTTAATGCCTTCATATTTTCGGAATTGTGAATTGAATCATAACTACTTTATTTTTCTTTCCCTAAACCCAAAAACATGCATTTGATGGATTGTTTCTCGCCATTATTATCTTTACTACTAGCGGGAACAATTAATTCAGAACGAATATTTAACCGCTTCAGTGAATTTTACCCATATTTCTTTCGGTCCAGTCGCGTACGCTTGAGCCGGTCGACGACAACGTTTTTTGAATTGACTGTATCCTGTTGTAATGTTTATGACAACCGTGCTCGCGCATGAAGGATTGCTAACCTTAGCAAATGGAGGTTTCTTTTCTGTGGTCTGTACTTTTATGGAACATGGAATGGCGTCAGCATATCATCCAAACTCAAGTGAATCATATTGAGTTGAAATAAAATTTAAAAAAACGTTCTGACAAACCTTTTAAATGTACTTATATACCCCCATGTTTAGAAATTCTTCGCCGAAGGCGAAGTGAATATCGGGGAATATTTACCGAGACGCGAGTCTTCGAGCGGTGAGGTAAATATTCTCTATATATTCACTGAGCCTGAGGCGAAGAATTTTTTTAGCATATACCAACTTGTTTACAAAGTAACTTATTTTTATATACAATAATTCAATAAAAACAAACAAACAGAAACTTGCACTTCGCGTGACAAATTCACGCAAAACTTTTAGCAAAACGTTTAGCAAAACTTTTAACAAAAGGTTTAGTATTGATAGGAATGGCATCTACTTTCATTTTTTCAATTTCCTTATCTGAAATTGTAGCAAAACGATTGCCGGCAGATGCCATTTTGTTGCCGACTCAATATTCCGAGATTCAGAGCTGAATATCGTACAATATTCACCTCCAATTAACCAATGAGCGCGCGCGTTCTTAGGAAGTACACAAGTTGGTATATGATAATATTTGTTAGGCCTGTTTTTGGAAATAGCCATATTCGTTTTCTTTGTTATACATTAATTATTCCCCTACCTTTGACCATAATGTTTTACTAGTGTTTATATTTAACCATTATTCGCCGAAGGCAAAGTGATTATGGGTGGAATAATTCCCGAGCCGCGAGTCTTCTAGTCTCCCTCGCAACCGTTTTTAGTGTCGGTCGTAACGCTAACCAAGTACCAAATCCTTAATCACAATTTGATGTTTCGGTATCATTGGTAGATACAATCATCCATCAGAATGATTGTTTAAAAAAAACTTGTTGGAATGAAATCGAAATTTCAAAACTCGTTCGCTAACGAGTTGGGCTTTAAACCACATGCATTATTCAAGATATTTAAACCAAAATAAGGTCTCTGAAAACAATAAATGAATACATCTTTTACAAATGATGTCTTGTAGAGAAATTACTATGTACGTCATGGATAGTGAATTGTAATCTAGTAACCCTATGACAAACTGAGTCCATTGTATTAATACATGAAAGTTTTATGTACTTTAAATTGTTTCAGAACTGATTCATTGATGAGCTTGTCTGGTTATTCCTTATTCAGTCAGATTGTTATTAAATTTAAGGAATGGATCATAAGTAGCGTGCATCCATCGAGTTATGGATGCACGCGGGAGGTTGCTAAGCACGAAGAAAAGCGTAAGAGTTGCACGACGCGAAGCGGAGTGCAACTCTAGCTTTTTTGAGTGCTTAAGCAACCTCCCAAGTGCATCCATAACTCGATGGACGCACAGCTACTTATGATCCATTGCTTTTATAATATAGTCAAGTCAACAAACAAGAAATAAATACAAATTATAGACTGTATTTGTTGATCATGCCCTAAATTCTCCTTACGCACCTTGAGTGAATGAAAAGCACAAAGGCGCCAAAAACAGAAAAACAGTCGTTTTGAAAATGGCAGCTTTACACTGAAGACAGTTATGACTACAATAATGGCAAAAATTTAGCTTACAAGTGAATTAAAGATGTCCAAAACTACGGAGAAAGTGATTTTCAACTGTAAGAAGTACATTTCAAATGTTGACATATCTTAGTACAGTAATGCCCGAGAAAATCAGTGAAAAACAAAGTGGCTGTCTTTGTTGTTGTTGACGATGTTCAAGTTTGTTATCGTACAATGACTTAGCAATGGAAATAATCTCGTACACGGATCAAAACTAACTGACTGAACTGGATTAATTTTCTCTGGGTAGTACGCTTTGTCGGCTTTCCCTCCCATGTAGAGCTTCAGAAAGTACTTCACTGCAGTTGTGAAGCTGCGAAGTAGATGGTGAGCAAGATATTTATAGTTAATTACTTTGGAAATACTTTTGTTGAATAAATACACGATAACAATATTTTTGTATTTATTTAATCATTGCTTAAAATCCTTTGAATGTAGACACCGACCGATCGATTTGTGGTTTGCTTTGTCTTTTTGGAGTGACGCTCTGACACAATCTTGTCCAGCTCACTGTTTGAAAGTGATGCAAATCTTGACGTATTATTACTAGGCTGATCAAATGACAACTCTATACTAAATGTCGGAGATTGATGAGTATTTTCGCTAGTTTTTTTCAATCATTTTCAGTTATCTTTTCTAGATAAATTGTCAGCAAAAAGTTCCAAAAATTTTTTTTTTTCGCCGAAGCTAAAAAAGCTGACGTGAGCGTGCAACCCATGGGCAAATGGTTCATGCTTTTCAACCAATCAGATCGCGCGGATTTACTTGACTATATTATAATTATTTTTAACAAACTTGTACCGATCTCTATAACCTGCATGCAATCCAGGGGAGGTATTATTATTGAAAGACGCTTATAGGATGCTTAATAAAATCAAGTTATCTATAACCTTTATAGCTTTTCCTATTTGTCTATGCGCGTGATTAAGTTTCGCAAGTATTACTCACTGTAGCTGCACGTATTGAGGTCAGTTTCAAACCAAAACCAAAACTTCTATGAACGCGACGGCCAATCGGGTACGTCAGGTAAAGCTTTGATCAATTTACTTTGACCTAAACCAGGTAAGTGTATAAAATATATTGATATATATCGATGTATTTCTAGTTTGACAATTTATTACTTTACGTATTAGGGTGTATACTTCAGAGTTTACACCTATATTCAAATCGAAAATTAGAGTTCGCAATACAGATTTAACGTGGCATTTTTAAGAGGCCGGAACTCACTTTTTTTGACATCAATCAAATGAGATTTAGCGAACAAATCAATTTTCAGTCCTTAATAGACCCTTTTGCCAAATGAAATTGAAAAGAGTTAAATTAAAAAACCAATACCAGCACTGGAAAGAACACCTTTATTGTAGTAACCCCTACGAAAATGCTTTATGTCAGTGTTATATCGGCAGAGAAAACTCAAGTTGAAAATTAACAAATTTACAGACGAATGTTTCTTGAGTTTTGTCTGCCGATACAACACCTGACATAATGAATCTTCGTAGGGGTTACTAGAATAAAGGTGCTCTTTCCAGTGGTGGTATTGGTATTTCCCTAAGTTTAGTTTTAACTCAACCGGATTTGCTGCCGCCATTTTGGCAAGGGGTCTATTCACATGTCCCACATGGAAGCTTGAATCATTTCTTCTTGCAAATAACCAACTATCAGCTCTATTATCATAAGACTCTGACTTCGACAACAGATTGAGGGACCCCTTCGCCACCCGTCGAGGCCTCTTCATGTTCTTCATCGAATGTGAATTAAGGCTCCTTCACATTTATACGGTTATTTGTGGATCTGAACTAAGCATTTTGTTCTCAACGAATTACTGCGGTTTTCGATATCCTGCGAACTCGGTAGTTACGAGCTGCACGCTGAAATTTGTTTTTTCGCTGCTGTCAATCGAAAATAATCAGTCGATCGGTACCTTTTATGTTCTTGACTAGCGGCAGTAAAAATCCAGTTTCAGAACAAGTTCTTGAAATTCGCAGAATATCGAAAACCGCAGTGAATCACAAAGTTTTTGACGACAAGATTTCTGTTACTCGGCGTTTTGATGCCTTTGGGCATTGTTCTCAAGAGCTGAATGACAAAGCGATGAATTCTAGCTTACCTTAGCCGACATAATTATTCAATGACATTGTTATAAGTAAACTAGAACAGAATCATTGCATTGTCACTCTTGAGAATGATACAGGTGGGCATCAATTCCTCGAGTAAAAGAAATATTGTCGTCATGAACTTTGTGATTAAAGGTTTTGAGTCTGCAAACTTTTTGTTGTGGATTGGTCTCCCTTCTACACGTATCCGTTAGATTTTTTCCTTTTTTTTTTTTTTTTTTTTTTTTTTTTTTTTTTTTTATTTTTTTTTTTTCTTTTCTTTTTTTGAATACGCCTCTCGCATGTGGACGGTCGAATCCGTAAATAAAAAAATGAGGATCAAAAATGAATGTCCGGATAAGTGTAATTTTAGTAATTTTTATACGTAAAATCGAAGCCAAAATATAAAGGTAAATTCGAAAACCCAGGCCCACGTCCACCAGTGTTAAGATATTTTTAACGTATCTTTAAAACAGTATAGGCCTTATTCACGCGGCAGCCATGTTGGATTGAACAATAGATTCCACCACGCGTAGCCTCGCATACAAGAGTTTGAGAATTAATTTCTGCTGGGGAAGCAAAGGTTTTTATTCTCATGAGAATAAACATGGCCGCCGTGTGATCAAGGTCCATTAGTTAAATTGCTATTCTGCTACACAGACTTCTTGAAATAACAAATTCATTTTTTCTTTCTTTCAAAGCGTCGTCGAAAGTGAAAAATACTTCACAATGAAAGCCAACATTAACGAGTTCTTTTTAGATCTCATTGTGATAGCGATGGCTCTCGTTTCCCGTGTGTTTGCTGAAGCAGGCAGCGGAAATATCTTCATGAATGACAACGAAAACAGAGCAAGTGGAACATTTTTGAAAATCAAATCCCATGCGATCCTGACTAATAAAATCACTTCAAAAAAAGTCCAAAGTGCTATAGACTGTGCCTTCGTGTGTTTTCAAACACCTCGTTGTCTTTCTTATAATCTTGGCAAAACGAAACAACGAGGCACGTTTATCTGCGAGCCGTTAAACACAACCCATATGGACACGCCTCTTATAGCCATGCCCAACTATACTCACTTCAGAAACAATACAACAGTAAGTTTTACTGTCTTTCCACTCTAACCTTGAACACTCAAGTATATTTTATTTAATTTTTTTAATTGAGTAAATATACTTTTATTTTATTTTATTTTATTTATTTTTTCTCTCTCTTTCATCATTTCACTGATCTCCTTGATCGACTTTCAATACATGTTAACTTGAATTCTATTGTTTTCGATTCGTAATGTGATTGGTTGACACTGAACTCGAGTGTTCACTGTTAGAGTAGAATGACATAATGCACTCAATTCTTTCTCTCAAAACGGATGTTTCCTGAACTACATTTGTAAAATGAGTTTGTTTAATGTGTTGTTCTCTGCCTGGACAACAGGGGTTTCTCCGGGCTTTCCAGTTTTTCTCCCTTAAATAAAAATTCACATATGAGTTTAATGGTTTGTGTTGTGAATAATTCATGTAGTGGTAGTGCGGGAGAGCTCCTTACGGAAATAGAGGATCGTGAAACATGAATTTTTTATTTTTTATTTTTCGCATATTGAAAACATTAACAACCAATCAAAAAACTAAAATAAAAATGGAAAACAAAAATTTATATTTTTTCAATTATTTCTCGATCCTTAATCGTAATTAAGACTCATTGAATGGTATGTGAGTTTTCATTTATTTGTATCTATTTATCTATGTGTCGTGTCGTGTCGTGTCGTGTTGTGTTGTGTTGTGTTGTGT